CTCTCTCTCTCTCTCTCTCTCTCTCTCTCTCTCTCTTTGTTGTTCTCTGAAATCTGGAAGTATTCTTGTTGGAATTTATTTTATTTTTTACTGTTTGTCAATCAAAGAACATTGAAATTTGCTTTTATTTCAGTGACACATTGGCTTCATTTTATCGTCTGCCATGTGACATCCAGGCTTTTCAAATAAAAAAATATTACATACGTAAGACTGAATTTCAGTCTCAAGTAAATTGCATGTCTGTATTGGCTTCAGTTCTTAATATGACTCCATTTTTTCCTTCCATTTTTCTTTTTCCCCACCTCACACACTTTTCCACCACATAATTCTAATAATTCTAATTGCTGCTGCTTTCTGTAAGGCCAAGAACTGTGTTGTTCCTTGATGAGTCCTTATTGTTCTCTTTGCCATTGAGCCTTTCTGCTGTTGTAAGTGTAATCAAAAAGCTCACAAGTTACACAATAAATGATACGGCATCTTGTTCACAGCTTTTGCTTGCTTGGTTTTGTTTTATGCCTTTCAGGATTTTGTCTTATCTAAACACTCTTGTCAAAGTTGCCTTCTCTAGATTTGATCTGTTATTTAGTTTTCCTATAATCAAATGTTGGTATTAAAATTGCAAATGTGAGTTAAGCAAATTCATTTAAATTCCATCATAAAGATTTTATTGCAATTGATTGCCGATTTAATCCATTTAAGAGGCAACCCTGCTGAACCCTTCTTGAAGCCAGCTGTGTGATTGAACATGCACAAAGGTCAGCTCTGATTAACTCGGCTTCAGCAAGGAGCCTCCAGGAGGGAAAAAAAAAAAAAAACGAACTCAAATGCAGATAGTATGGATTGTATGTAACAGACAGGAAAATAGGAACAGCAAGCATGTTTGTTAGAAATCGAGGGTGGAGAATGCGCGCTTGTTCGTGAGCAACACAGAAGAACTTGTGTGCGAATTTCATTCGCAAGTATGTGATTGCTGCTGATGCTGGGGTAAAGTGGGAAGGGGGCGCAGGAGAGAGTAAAAAAAAAACAGCTGCAGAAACAGTTGTGCATTGAGGGGAAAGCATATTGGACAATTAAGACAGAGGCTGTGTACTGGCGCTGCTCTGTGTGGGGCTGATTGAATCAGAGAGACAGCCACTCACAGCTCTTTGTCTCAGGACATTGCAGGTAATTACCCATAAGTCACTGTTCCCCTGTACTGGATCTTCAGCCCAATTACGCCCACACAAGCTGTCCACCTCAGCATCATTTATTACCTCCGGTTGCTTGTTGACCTTTTCAGCCTCACAGTCCAACAGGCAATTCAGCTGCATAACACTGAGCAGAGGAGAGCTGCAGGGCTGACATCAGTACGTTAGTGATGCACGGGCAACAGTTTTTAAACGGATCCACTATTAGTTGTAATATTAAACTTTATTTGATAAACATTTATTTTAACTGTAAAATAAAGACTATAAAAATATTGTAGGCTGTTTAGTTTGTAATTGTTTTTAAATATATTTTAACACAGACGGAGCCATTTTATTTACACACAAAGCATTCTGGGTAAATGATGACATCAACTAGGTCTTCGGTGTGAGGCTGCTAGCGAGCTATATCCATCCTGAAGTTTAATCTTGGACAATATCTGATGACCGGCTCTTTTAAATGAAACCAGAGAGCGTTGACAGAGAGGAGAAGGTAGACATGACTCAGCCTGTAACTGAAAATATAGATGGAGGACAACAGAGCTGCTTCATGGAAGAAGAACCTCAGCTTAGCCTGTTATGGTACGTTCACACCGAACGCGATTTCAGCGTCAGGAGCAGCAGGTTTACATACAAAGTCTATGGTGGACGCGCTTCAAGTAGCGTCGGGAAGTGCTGCGGCGCCTCAAGCGCGATTAGAGCAGCGCGATTTGAACGATTTGAACGATCTGAGCGTTCGACGCGCTGAGGCGCAAATCGCTGAAGTTAGAAAATCTGAACTTTTGCAGCTCGACGAGCCGCATCAACCAATCAGAGAGACTCCACTGCGTGACATAGCGACATATTTCCTGATGGGACAGTTTACTGAAAGATGTCCACTAACCTGAAACAGATGGAGCGGAGCACTTTAGCTGAAATCCAGTGCCTGCAGTCGGTGTCCTGATCCACAGCAATGCATGACAGCGACTCATCAGACTGGAAAAATAGTCCTGAAAGCGAGCTGTGAGTCTCTTCTCTGAATTATCTGGTGAATTAATTATGAATTAATTATCTGATGAACGTGACATGCTCTTGCTCTCTGTAAATAAAGCAAAGCCACTTCCTCATCCGACATTAAACAGAGCCCGACAGAGTAGGGAGGGGCGGGGAGGCTCTTGCAGTGCAGCGCTTCAAGAGCTAACCTGCGTCTGACCTCAAAGTGCACAAGCTTCAAACTTCAGCGTTGGCTGCGATTTTGAAGCTGAAATCGCGTTCGGTGTGAACGCACCATTAGCCTTCGCGCTAGCCCTCACTCTATATTGCCTTACATGTATTAGCTTGGCGCTAGCGCAACAAATAAGCTAAACTGAGRTCCTCCATCCATATTTTCAGTTACAGGCTGAGTCATTTCTACCTTCTCCTCTCTGTCAACGCTCTCTGGTTTCATTTAAAAGAGTCGATCATCAGATATTGTCCAAGATTAACCTTCAGGGTGGATATAGCTTGCTAGCAGCCTCATGCTAGCAAGATGACCTAGTTGATATCATCATTTACCCAGAATGCTTTGCGTGTGAATAAAATGGCCCTGTCCGTGTAAAATAGTTTAAAACTTTTAGTTTAAAATTATAAAAACTGAACATCCTACAGTATTTTTACAGTCTTTATTTTACAGTTAAAGTATATGTTTATCATATCAAGTCTAATGTTACAACTAATCGGGGATCCCTTTAAGCTGTTATAAATAGGACTGTTAAAGTGAATTTGTAATTTTGTTGTTCGCATACTCAAATCACTCATAAGTAAGTTAAAAATAAAAATATATACAATATACTTGTACAACTGACTAATATGATCAAGCTATTACTATTTTCCTGTGTGATTATGTAGAAAAAGCTTATTAACAATCAACATCTTACCTGCTGAAGATAGTTTTTTGAATGAGTTCAGTTTAGAGTTTAATTCTAACAAGAGGGATGCTGGGTGACTGGAGCCACGACCAAAGAGGATTAGAACCATCTTAAATAAATGCCAGTCTCAAAGATTTAATAACGATTCAAGCAAATGTTTATATTTTTTACAAACCACTACACTGCTGTCAGTTTCACGCCACAGGGTTAGAATTATGTTTGCAAATGAAGGAGCTAGCTGTTGCACTTCAACTGCAGCCTGCRTACAAGGAAAATGTGGGCAAATTATTTGATCCTGAAGTTATATGAAGACGGCCACTGTTTTCCACTTTAATCTGGCTAGCTGTTAGCTCATCAATCTGGTTCAAATAAACTCTTTTTACTCAAACTGAAGTTGGTCAAAGAGCTATCTATAAAATGTAAGAGATCGGTTGTTTAAAAATTTTCCACAAAACCTTGATTTAAAACATCAGAACTGTGCCCTTATTGCTCCAAATGTTTATATCGTTTTGTGGCGTAACCTAATGGATTTTAAATATGACATGTTAATGGATGTAACAGGACATTTTGAAAGAAAAAAAAAACACAACGCTTAAAAGTATCAGAATGAAATCCATTTTGTTGTGTTCCTGGCAGAACAGGACACTCTGTTTAAAGTGTGTGTATTTCACAACATGTGGCAACAGCAGAAGTCAGTAAACAAGAGGATGGATAAAGGTTCGTTGAGTAGACTACATTGCCATCTGCTGATCCACTAAAGGCAAAGCATTTACAGATATTCAAATAAAAGGGAAACAAATGCACAAAAACAAATTACTGCATTGGTAATTGGACTTATTTTTTCCACATTGGTGAATCATGTGACCTTTAAAACCCTACCCAATCTATTTTCTTTAAATAATCAATTACAAACCTAAGTTTTTCTAACAGAAATTGATAATTTACAGACTGTTTTGTTTATTTTAAGAAAAACATGACACACAAATAAAAAAAGTGATTAAATCAAGTTTATTGAATTTTCCAAGTCAAACAACCAGACTTGTTTTCTGTGTTAACATCAGGTTCTCTGGGTGACTTTTATTTTCCCAAAGAAACCATCATAAAGTACAGAAAGCAAACATTCCTTTCTTTACTCTCATCCATTTCCCCCCCAAAACATTCAAACCTTGAAAGATTTTTAAACAAGCCTTTATGTATACCATGTGATGTCTACAGTATGGAAAAGGTTCTATTAAATTGAGTMATTTCAATCTAAAATTCTGTTTACATTAGTAAGGAAATAAACTTGAGGTATGCTAAAGCTTCTGAAGTTCATTAGTAAATTCAAAACAAAAAAAAAGACAATCATAATAGTTCTGACAATGTACGTTTTCAAGACTGTCCAAAACATAAATCTATTATATAAAGTATCAGGTTTGTTTATCTAGTATTCATTTTGTGCTTTTTAGAGTTTCCTAACAAAAAAAGTGTTGTTGCATTAATCTTTTCTTACTCTTTGCAAAACATATTCCTTTCTTTTTTTATGTCTTACTGATTGTCATGTTCTTGAACAACCTTCTTCTCTCTCTCCAGCCTGACATCGGACAGACGCCACTAGAGCGTAGTTTCTGCGTCTGGTTTCATAAAGGATGGCGAGAGCAAAATGAGGGAGGCCGTTTGTGAACACGACAAGCATGTGTACACYTGAGAAGGAAGAAAGCAACCACAGACAGACTTGTCAAAACAGGAGAAAAGAAAATCCAATTTCTGAATGATAAAGTAGCATTTGTTTATTTGTTTCTGTTTGACTCCCCCAACTTGTCTAGCAAGCCTTCTGTAAAGACTGCCCAACCTCCTTCTCAGGGTAATACTTGTTGGTAAAAGGAGCTCTTGCCCCGGGGTTGATAGCTGACATCAGTTCCAGCTTACAGCGGCTCTCATGCTCAGCTCCCAACACCAGGGGGTCAGACTCACTGGGATGACTGAGGCTGCTGTCAAGCAGCAGGAGGCGGGCGTCACTGTCAGGTCTCCCTAACATTACTGACTGCCTCGCTCAGGTCGTGTCACTGTCAGGAGGCGGGCAACGCCTCATCACAGTGTCAGAGACCGAGCGGCTGCTCACTGTCTGTGTCGCCAAACAGCCTGCGTCAGTGTCAGCATCAGCTGGCCTTAGGAGCGGCTTCGTTCTCGGAGCCGGCGACCCACTGTCAGCTGAACTTTGACTTTCACCTAACGCCCTCTGACCCTCAAGGTCTAAGGTGTGCTCCGTCGACCTCCTGAAGCATCTGCTGTGTGAGCACTGCTTGCTGCATGGGATCTGCCTCGAACTGATGCTGATTTTGAGACAACCCGGCATCGTGTTGACCATGGTCTCTGACATGGTGATGATTTTGTACATGATCAGAACTGTGGGCAAAGCCATCTTGGTTTCCATGATGATGACCATGATTATGGTCATGTGAATGGTGCAAATGGTCACGACCATGATGGCTATGGCCACGATGATGATGACTTTGACCTTGATGTTGAACATGAATTTGTTCAGTGTTGTCAGGTGGGATAGGATCTGCAACAGGCTGCGCAGCTGCGTTTGTGCACTCTTCTGCAGGTTCAGTATTCTGTAAGAAAACAATGACAGCCATGGGAGGTTTTATTTTTCATTGCTCAAGTTACCAACACTTGATCTGATGAGTGATGCATGTTAAATCAGTTAATATTGCTTGGTTTGTACCTCAAATGAGCACTCTCCACATATGCGATTGCAGTAGGCGTCTTTGATTGCACGCTCAATATGTCCAAGTCCAATGATGGAATATGGAAGTGAAATGTGGTGAGTGAGACGGCCGCACCTGATGGAACAGATCAATAAAAAGGTCAGAGTGGCAGTTATTTATCTCCCCCATGCGAAATGTGTCTGCCACACCATGACAAACCTGTCATAAATGAAAAAGTCATCTTTTCTCCCATTCAGCGTCTGCCAAACGTGAGGCTGTTGCTCGCTCTGTTTGTAGAGGGCGATGTTCTCTGACAGTTTTAGTGCCAACAACGGGTGGAGTCGCTGTGCTTCTTGCGTCTGGTCGTTTACGACCATGTAGACCACGTCCTTCAGACCCTGACTTTCCATCTTTCGGCGCAGGCCATCCATTCTGCTCCGAAAACATACACAAGAAGACTGGTAAATTTTGTTTTAGAGTAAAGTAAAGTAAATTTATTACAAGTGTTTGATGTGTTGTTGACAAATCAGTACATTCARGATATTTTCTTTGATAATGAACCTCCTTAACTGGTAGGTTTTGCAGAATAAGTCTAAAAACTCAACTGTCACTTATTGCTAAACAAAAATGTAGAGCTCTGATTTACTGAAGATCCTTCAAAGTGCAGTTTCAGCATTGAAATGTCCCTTTTCTTTTCATTTAAACAACCAAAAGTGCAGGAAAACATGGTAACAGCAGACCGTCTCCTACCTAGAGGCCTGCACCAAGCAGAACAGTCAGCTGGCCTGTAGAAGGGCCACCACGGTCACCTGGCCCATTGACCCCTTCATCGGCTCCACCTCCCCCACAGACCAGGCTGGTGGCAGCTGACATCGAGGCCCACCCCCCTCACTCTCTGCACCGCCCCCGTGGAGCAGGCAGAGAGTGAGGAGCAGACCCAGGCACGCCCACATTCCTGTGGCGCCTCCCCGCTGCCCCAATCTGCAGGAAGGGAAGGGGGTGGGGTTGCAAAGAGGGGAACAGAAAGCAGAAGGTGAAAAAAATGAGGAAAAAAGTGTCAAAAACAACACGTTGTTCCAACATCTTCTGGATTGCTCAATCATTTTTGAAAATTTAAAAACCTAGACATGTATATACATACATAGTTACATACATACATACATACATACATACATACATACATACATACATACATACATACATTCATACATACATACATACATACATACATACATACTGTATATATGTATAGATCAGCAGTCTTTTTTCAGCTGAAACATACATTTGAAGTTTAAGTGTTTAATGCAAATGTCTTGATTTTCATACTTTACTAAACATAGCAAGAAGCAAGGTTTAATAAAACCAAAATCCTTCAATGACTCAAAAGAGTGAATAAACAAATACAATCCATGCAACGAAATAAAAAAGCCCTTTTCTACCAAACAAATGGGAAAACATTGGGAAAGCCACTGACATTCCATCAATAATATGTATCATAAATGCTGCCATGTCTGTTTTAGTAAGGAATTCTGCTACTTACCCTTTGTTAAAAGCGTCCCTTCTCTCTGTAAATTAGGCTCTGCTTCAATGCAACTCCTCAAACAAACACTAGTCTCTTCCTCAGCTGCTCCCCTTTTTATACTCAGCCTGTTGTTTTGCTGTCTGGATGGAGGACAAAGTTCAGTCACAGCTGTATGCTGATGCCAACACTTTTCTCAAGTTAGAAAAGACACAGTGCATGAAATCTGCAAGTACAACAGGAAATGTTTCTGTTTTTTTCTTTTTCGTAGCAACTGACATATCTTTAAAAAAATCCAGAGAATTAATGAGGGGGGTGAAATGCTTCTGCATTCACTTTTAATATGTGTCAGCTTCAGAGACAGTGAAAAAGCCATTTTCAGTGTGAATTCAGTTTGTCTTTTTTTGCATTTTGAAAATGTCCAAGACATAACATAGATGTCAAAGTACAAAGATAAAAACTGCGATCCAGTTTCTTACTTGCAGGAGGAGGAGGAGGAGAAGGAAAAAAGTACAGAGGGCGGACCTCTGGATCCTGTCCAGCATGTTTTCACAAGTCCACACAGCAAGAAGAGGCTTTTCAGAAGAAGCAATTTAGGCAATCTCCCCAAAAAAGATTCTCTACTTTTATATTTATTGACAGTTAAAGAAGGATTACTTTATGATGCTGAGGGACAAGAAGCAATAAAACGGTTAAACAATGGAGTACAGAAAAACATTTAAATCCTTATAAAGACTCATTGTGTAGGTCAGTGTTAGGGTTCAGTGACTGCAACACATGGACATGGAACAGTGATCTGTGTGACACTGAAAGATAAGATTATGTAAACCAGCTGTGAACAGCCCTATTGTACTATCAGCGCTTTTTTTTCTTCGTAGAACATCCAACTGATGGTGATAACAGAACTGTTTGAGGATCAGGAATGGCGTAAGTTAATAGTTTTAAACAGGACAAGAAGATGACAAAAAATAGTTTTGAAGAGTTGCAAAGTTGGTTAATTTAGTGCCACATGTTTCATTATGGAGTCACTTAAAAATACTCCTGTTTCTCTGTTTGCACAAAGTCTTATAAATTGAAAAAGGAGTGTTTCTTTTTATTTTGCTTCTCAAGCTCCAAACTACAAAAAGGTGTTTGTGCTACACTATGGAAAACACACTCTATTTTAGGAGTCACGTAACTGATAATGAAAACTCATTGTAAAGACAGAATAGATTGAGATTGTTGTATAAAAGGTATGGCAAAAGAGTATAGTCCACACACTTGTACTTGCATAAACATGTATCAACTTGACTGGAGTTGTTGGCACTGCTTAATATGTGACTTGTTTTGTGACTCTGATTATATAATAACTAGACTGACACTCATTTACAGGGTAAAACTGCTTCCAGGGTGCACCGCACTGACATGCAGGTGCTGGTCATAAAATTAGAATATCATGAAAAAGTAGATTTATTTCAGTAATTCCATTTAAAAAGTGAAACTTGTATATTATATTCATACATTACATACAAACTCATATATTTCAAATGTTTATTTCATTTAATTTTGATGATTACAAATGACAACAAATGAAAATCTCAAATTCAGCATATCAGAAAATTAGAATATTACTGAAGACCAATAAAAACAAAGGATTTATAGAAATGTTGGCCAACTGAAAAGTATGAACATGAAAAGTATGAGCATGTACAGCACTCAGTATTTAGTTGGGGCTCATTTGGCCTGTATTACTGCAGCAATGCGGCGTGGCATGGAGTCGATCAGTCTGTGGCACTGCTCAGGTGTTATGATAGCCCAGGTTGCTCTAATAGTGGCTTTTAGCTCTTCTGAATTGTTGGGTCTGGTGTATTGCATCTTCTTCTTCACAATACCCCATAGATTTTCTATGGGGTTAAGGTCAGGAGAGTTTGCTGGCCAATTAAGAACAAGGATACCATGGTCCTTCAACCAGGTACTGGTAGCTTTGGCACTGTGTGCAGGTGCCAAGTCCTGTTGGAAAATGAAATCTGCATCTCCAAAAAGTTGGTCAGCAGCAGGAAGCATGAAGTGCTCTAAAACTTCCTGGTATGTGGCTGCGTTGACCCTGGACCTCAGAAAACACAATGGACCAACACCAGCAGTGACATGGCACCCCAAACCATCACTGACTGTGGAAACTTTACATTGGACTTCAAGCAACGTGGATGAAGTGCCTCTCTTCTTTTCCTCCAGACTCTGGGACCTTGATTTCCAAAGGAAATGCAAAATTTACTTTCATCAGAGAACATGACTTTGGACCACTCACCAGCAGTCCAGTCCTGTTTCTCTGTAGCCCAGGCAAGACGCTTCTGACGCTGTCTGTGGTTCAAGAGTGGCTTGACACAAGGAATGCGACAGCAGAAACCCATGTCTTTCATAYGTCTGTGTGTGGTGGTTCTTGAAGCACTCACTCCAGCTGCAGTCCACTCTTTGTGAATCTCCCCCACATTTTTGAATGGGTTTTGTTTCACAATCCTCTCCAGGGTGCGGTTATCTCTCTTGCTTGTACATTTTTTTCGACCACATCTTTTCCTTCCCTTCGCCTCTCTATTAATGTGCTTGGACACAGAGCTCTGTGAACAGCCAGCCTCTTTAGCGATGACCTTTTGTGTCTTGCCCTCCTTGTGCAAGGTGTCGATGGTCGTCTTTTGGACAACTGTCAAGTCAGCAGTCTTCCCCATGATTGTGTAGCCTATAGAACTAGACTGAAAGACCATTTAAAGGCCTTTGCAGGTGGTTTGAGTTAATTAGCTGATTAGAGTGTGGTACCAGGTGCCATCCATTTTGAAYCTTTTCACAAGATTCTAATTTTCTGATAWGCTGAATTTGAGATTTTCATTTGTTGTCATTTGTAATCATCAAAATTAAACGAAATAAACATTTGAAATATATGAGTTTGTATGTAATGTATGAATATAATATACAAGTTTCACTTTTTAAATGGAATTATTGAACTAAATCTACTTTTTCATGATATTCTAATTTTATGACCAGCACCTGTATATCGGTGAATTTAAATAAGTTCTGAATTGACCGGATTAAGTTTAACAATAATTTGTGCAGAGTCATAAACTAGAATTATAGAAATTGTTATAGGTCTATACATGTTGATAATTTCAGGGCATTTGATGGTCAGTATAAAACAGACTTTTTTCCTACTAACAGTATGACAAGGGAAAAGAGCTCATCTTGATAAAGAAACTTTTTTCCACTCATATCAGAACCTTTAGTCTTAGAGGGTCAAAGTCAAGTAATCTAGTACCTGGGTGACCTTCATGTAATTCTTAGATCTTAGTGTTGTGTAAGCATGCGTTGCAAACTGATATGGAAGTCAAACTGTTGAGATAATGTCAAACAAATGTATCTGTAACATATCCGTATAATGTGTCCGATTTCCAAACTCTTCTCAGGCAATATCCTGCATGATYAAAATCCTTTTTTAAATTATAATAATTCTGTCATATTTTACAAGCAGTGTTTAAAGTTGCCGTCTCACAGCCTGACAGCGATCAAAAGATAAACAACCTACAAAGTCAACTCTGATTCAGAGCTGGCTGATAACATGAGAAACCTCTCTTGTTGTGAATACATCTCTACCTCCACTCAGTGACTTGTGGACTGCCCCTGTTGCCCTGAAAAAGTAAACATCAATGTCAAACTCTGAAAATGCCTCCACCATTCATAGAAAAGAGCCACAGAATATAAAAAGGGGAGAAAGAAAGAAAAAAAACTGTCATGTGATGAAGAATTAGTTGAATAATCTTTAAATTATCATTGGCTGTGATTATTTTGCCCTTCCTTTACCTCTGTTACTAAGCAACATTCCTCGGCGTCCTGCAGTTTGCAAGGAATTCTGGGAAATAGAGGCCTGAGGGTTGGGTTGAACGACCGCCCCTTTTTTTGGAGCAACGAGGGTAGAACAACGTCGTAGAAAATATTACCTCTAAGCAACTTTGTGAATTAGTGTAACGAAACTTGAGGTATGTATACCGGCAGTTTTTAACGTATACTTCGATGTACAGCAGCTATAATCAAGTAATGTGTCTAGGAAATGTGTATTTTAATGCGCCGTTTGATGACGTAATGTTGATGGGCAAACGCGAAATGGCGAACGTGCTAAAAGGCCCGCTAGCGGTAGCGTCGGCTTTTACTATGTTTATTCCCCCAGTATTTCAATGTGGAAACAATTACACCCATTTCCCTTACCGGGTAGGTTGAGTGTTAGTTACACCGTCTCGTCGGGTGTGTGAAAAAAAAAAGTTATTTTTTATTTTTTTGGTGCKGGCGGTTTTTGCTACTTTAGCAAACACGGAATTGCTAATGAAGCTGTCAAGCTATCTTGACAAGCGCCATGTGTTGAGACCTGCAATAGCAAAACAATTATAATCCGTTTAATGATTTTATAATATAATAAACAGGCGCAAATACTTTGTGTGTTTGTTGTATTTAGACTTTGTGTCGTTTTGTTGAAATGTCATATTGCAGTCTAAACGTACCTTATAGTCAGAGGTGATGACAGGCTAATGTAAAAACACTGACTGCTTTACAAGTGTCACAAACTGGGTGAGGTGTGATGTTTAGCCACTCTAAAGGTTATACTCATTGTTGTGTTTTTTCACAATAAAGCTTATTTTTAATGATTCATAAATGTAATCTTTAAGATAGCTTTTTCCATTTGACTCAGCCATTTGAAATGCGTGCACTTGTTTTCATGTTCCTTCAGAAWCAGATCAGGTGAATGATGGAGTCAGAGGTGGAGGTGAATAGAAGCAATGAGTACCCATCGCTTTACAAAGTCATGATGGAAAAACTTAATGAACAACGACAGCTAGACCAGTTCACAGACATTACTCTTATTGTAGATGGTAAGTACAGCAAATGTCATTTCCATAATTGCCTTTATTAATTTTTTAATGCAACTAAACACTTCGAACAATAAATTGAGCAAACTCTGTCTTGTCAACTTGTTAGTGTAGAGTGCACAAAGTCATTTGAGAGAATTGGTGAAAAAGGATGTGATTGACTTGATRAGTACTAAGTTATTGCTACTTTATACCATTTTCTATTAACTTTTTAACATTGAAACTAGAATATAGCCAGTYTTGTAAATGTGTATCWTATCAACACCTTCCTAAAATAATCACCTATGTAATTTTTCAGGTTTTTCAGTGTAGAAACAGAAAAAACTTAGCTCCGCTTCAGGTCATTATCTTGAGGGGTAGAATCAAATTATTTGATCCATTGAGAACATAGACGGTTTTAACGCAGGTTGTAAAGAACACGAGGAGATGATTTATGCATAAAAGTTGATTTTGCTGAAATGACTTAAAAGGACCTAAATAAAGGCAATTATTTTAGAAAGGTGTTGATGTAGAAAGTCTTTTGCAAAATACAAGTGGTAAACAAAGATCCTCTAGCTATTACTACCGAATGTAAAATTTCCTAGTTACTTTTATAATTTTTTTTTAATGCAGGACACCAGTTCAGAGCCCATAAAGCGGTGCTGGCAGCATGCAGCCAGTTTTTCCACAAATTCTTCCAGGATTTTACTCAGGAACCTCTCGTGGAGATAGAAGGTACGTTTTCTTTCAATCAAGCCTCTGAAAAAAAATAAAGATTCTGTCAATGGATGTTATTGTTGGGGTCATAGACTTGAATATAGATCACTAGACTAAGCCCCGCCCATTCCGTCCACTGGTAGCGTCTGTGACAGCATGGAGGAGCAGAAACTGAGACCAAACAGGGCAACGGCTCACAGCCTCCATAGAAACTAATAGATAAACAGCAGCTGAACTGGATCTGTTTCACAAATTAACGGTCATGTTTTTACATTAAATTAATAATTATGTTAATTTCATTCAACAATCAATTTATAAGTAATGATCTAAACCAGACCTAAGTCAGCCTGTAACTTAGACTTTAGCTAGTTGAAAAATGATGACTTCAGCTAGTAATAAAGTATATTTATCATTTCGTCTTACTGTCATAAAAA